AAAATTGTTTAACTTAAATTGTTATTTTTCCTTTTTTTTTTTTTTTTTTCATTGGAATTTTAAGAACCTTGTCCGCAGTAACAACCTCGTTACATCTTCTAGACAATAAGCTTCACTTAGCACTTGAGAAATGATCGAAATGAGGCCGTGGTCATCGAAACAACAGTTTGTTGAAACAACCATCGCTCTAATAATCCCATGTGCAATACCCAATAATTGTTATAATTACTATCACAATCCTCGATTTAAACTGGAAGTAGTTGTCTAGCTGCGGGATATCTTTCGCAAAGTTCAAATGCACTTCCACTGGACATTAATCACATTCCACATTCTTTTTTTAACTGCGGATTTCGACATTCACAAGTCGCTGGTTCGCGTGCTGTGGAAATTGCGACAAAACCGAAAAAAGCAAACTTCATTGAAACTTCCTACAATGGGCGAGGTTTGCTTTATGGGCAAAAGCCGATAATATTGTTAAAACAGACCTGATCTAGTGAAAGTGCTCAATAACAGACACTCGGTCCTACCGAATTATTTTATTAATAGTACAGGGTGCTCCCGAATAGGGAATCTCCGAAACTAAGATGTTTAGCCAAAAACGAGTGATAGATACATTCTGGATCTCATTTTTTGAGAAAATAATATTGGTTAAAACCGCATTCCCGCTATCGTCTTTTGTTTTCAACTTACAGACAAAAGTTGACATTTTGACGAAATCTAAAAAAATGTATATCTTCGTTATTATAGAAGATACGGATTTGAAATAAAGACATTAAAGGCACTTTTTTACGAGGAATTTAATAATGTAGTTAACAATTTTTTTCAGTTATTAGTTTGGCCGTAATAAGATAAACTTGTATTTTTTTAAATGGAAATCATAGGCGGTTATGGCAATTTCGAAAAGCTAATTTTTTTCTGATCTAAAAAATATATATTTGTAACAGAATATTTTTTTATAACTATACTTAAAAAGTGAAATACATATTTTGTTTAATAATAGTTGGCCATGGAAAAACTATTTCACTCCAAATGTGTAAATAATAATCAATAAGAGTTTTGTGAACTGTAAAATAGATGAAAAAATAGATAAAATTAAAAAATACGATACGGTAGAAGCATTGAACAAATATGCGAGCGTTTCAGAACAAAATTATTACATATTTTTAAAAAATCCAAAAATAGRAAACACAAATGTGTCAACAGTCAACACAATTAGAAAAAACCTTTTTTTGATGATCTAATGGAGGTAGGATAAAGTTCCACATAGACGGAATTTGGGTATTTGAATAGCCATAACGTCATTTTTATGTCATATAAAATATATTTTATTGAAGAATTAAAGCGGTTTTTTTTACAACACTCTATGTATCACTAGAAGTTACAATGGTAATGTTAGCTTGTTTAAAAACAAAGAAATGTTATTAGTCGCCAGTAAGTTGATTTACGATTTATTTTGCATTTTTTTCATTACTTAGTACTTAGAAAACTCTTTCATTAGTGACACTGGTTGAATATAATATAGTTTAAATCCTTTTAGTTGAAGATGCAACATTTTTTCATGGCCAACTGCGAACAAAAATCAAAAATAATTTTTTGCTAAAAATGTATTATAATAAATTGTTACAAATATATATTTTTTAGATAAGAAAAAAACAAGCTTTTTAAAAATGACATAGCCATCTATCATTCCCATTTGAAAAAATCCAAGTTTATTTTACTACGGCTAAACAAACAACTGAACAAAATTGTTAACCACATTATTAAATTCTACGTAAAAAAGTGCCTAATAATGTCTTTATTTCAAATCTGTGTCTTCTATAATAACGAAGATATGATTTTTTTTAGATTTCGCTAAAATGTCAATTTTTGTCTATAAGAACGTTTTATAACAATATTTCTAGATGTCTATAAGTCTATAAGTGTTAAAAATTTAGTTTTTTTGTTATCTTAGTGAGATAATTTCAAATTTTGAATTAATTTTTCATGTGTTAATTATACAGTGTTTCATTTTTATTGTTAGGTACAAATTTAAATACTTGATAGAATATTTAATTTTAAGACAAAAGTCTTTCGAAAAATGCTATGAAAGGGAGCTACATCCCCTAAAAAAGGTACGTTTTTTAAAGGGTTTTTCCTAATATTTCAGAATAGACAAAATTACAAAATTTGGTACCTTTATATGTACACCCAAACAAATGCCAAATAACAAAATTTTTAATCAGGGGCGTCCTAAACGGTAAAACA